AAATGCAAAAACAAGGACCTTTGTCAGCACTGTGATTTTCTTGTCAGACATTGGAGAGGTGCAGCAGAGCAGTGGAGGCCACAGAGAGACAATCTCAGAGACCATGCTCAAAATCCAGCGCACGGAGGATTCATTAACCCAATGGCTGCACAGGACCATGAAAGTATTTTTTTCTATTTCAATCCTTCCTGATACCAGGCGCGGAAGGATGAATGAGTAATGAACAAAAATCTTACCCAAACTGGTCAGACAAAGTCTAAAAACTGAAAAACACTTGCTTGCTTCCTGAAGTTTATGCTAGTTCAATTTGATTAGAGCCGTCAATAAAATATATTAATTGCAGTGATATCGCCACTGTGGAATGCAGCACTATATCCAATATGTAAGTAAACAGGGAGTAGAGATATTCGTAGTCAATGTACAGCATATATATTTTTCCTAGTGAAACCTCACCTGCACCACTCCCTAGTAATGCCTATTTACCAGTACAAAGCGATAGTGTACCCCGCCTAGTCTAAATGTTTATGCATGTGCTAGTTAAAATTGCCTAATTACACTGACCGACTGTACAATAAAGGATTAGGAGAATATGTTAGGTGATCAACATGAACAAACAAGGCCAATTATGTCAGGACTGAGAAGCACTAGCCAGAAAAAAGACATTCGCAACGAACTGGGAAACCCAGAGACACTGGTGGCGAGCGCAGAGAACGCCATGCATATGCAAAGGAGCTGGGCAGAAATCCCTCTTGTGACAGTCTGTGATGTAACCTCATGGTTCTCAAGGTGTGCAATCTGACTGAGCACGACCACTGAGAAAATTCCCCACCTGTGCATGTGACCACGGCAGTGGGAGGAGCCGCAAGCATCACGGCGTCGCCTTTCTTCCTACCGCCCTTCGAGACACACGCCCACAGCACTTTGCAGGGACTCTACCAACCCATGTAACACTCAGCCACAAGGGAACATGTGACTTGGGGTTAGGGAATTTCATCAGTTAAGTTACTATGGGACACATTGCAAAAAATTATGTTTATTTGGCTGCAAAACCCAACCCTATAAACTATAATCTATATTTCATCATTTTGATCTTTTATGACATACTAATTTTTTAAGGTCTAAAAAGCAACCATTTTTTCTTGTGTTACTGCGTTTTTGGTATGTTTTTCAGTGTTAAACCTGTCAGTAAAAACAACACAATAATATGACTCTATGTTTCAGGCGGCTTCCTGCCTTGTTTAACCACAACATCAAAGTCTCAAATGTGGCACCTTTTATGTGCTTCTTGTTAGGGTCACATTCCGTTGGATTCTCACATTACAGTGTTAGTTTGTAACCTTAGGGCAGCCCCCCCCCCCCATGGTGATTTTTGATACGACTCACATTACATGTTTAATGAGTCCTCAAAAACATCACACTTAGCAATCATTTGGTTCCAGTTGATACCATCGAGTCATGCCAAGTTAGCCTTCTTTCCGTCACACACAGGTCAGAACATAGCAACAAGATAATTTTATCACCATGGGTGCCATGGGGGTAGGCGGGTAGTGGTTTTGTGACACCCCCACTTTTGCTGAAATACAATTCTCTCCCCCCACTTTTTTGTTGGACTTAACAAAATGAAGAACTTGATAGTAGGATGTGCGGATTAATTTAGCATGTTATACCACGTTTTATATTAAAACATTACATACTATTATTGTAGAGGAAATGTAGAAATGCAGGAAATCTGTTTTGATTTTGATTTTTTTGTCAGGGGAAATTACTCACCTCCCTCTCCTAGACCCCCCCCCCCAAACACACACACATCGAAAAAGATTGATGCACCTCTGATTATTGCTACACTGTATTCCACCTTTTGCAGTGAAGTTTTTACCCATTACAATGTGTTCTGCTATCAGCTCTATACACCCAGCAGCACAACTTTCAGTCATTCAAATGAGTGCAGGGAATTATATAATGATTTTAATGTGTAGGTGTCTAGAAGGTTTAATGACACAAATGCTGTCTGTTCCTATGTAATCAATGGTAAATGTATGTTCTGTTCCTATGTAATCCATGGTACATGTATGTTCTGTTCCTATGTAATCCATGGTACATGTATGTCCATAACACAGAAAGTGTGGGCGGCAGTTCTGTGGAAGTTGGAAAGTGATTCTTGTCATTTCAGTGATGACTTACTGCCCCCATGTGGACAAAAGCTATAGCAAACATTTAGGAAAAGCCCTTTCAATCCACTCCACATATCTGCTCAGTTGATGCAGGGTCATTTTAATCTTGGATCCATTCTAGCAAGATCCATAATACTAATCAGAGACTATATAATATTTCTCTATCTCTCTCTCTCTCACACACACACACACATATACTGTATTTGTAAGTGTACAGTGGCGTTTATGCATTTCTGTTAAAACTAGAAGTGATCCAGATTCTGCCATCAGTTCTAGCGTATTTCTGCAGGCTGCATGAAATCCAGGTTACGCAGCAGTTTGGCTCAATATCATAAAGCACTGAAGAGGATGGTGCAGACAGCTGCCAGTAATCAAGGACATAAACACTACACAAAGTTCAAGACAGATAGCATCATAAATGTTACTAGTGACTCTGCAATGCAAGAAAATAAGCATTTAGACTGCAAGACCTACGTGAAGGCATTCTCCAACTGTGGCCAATTAAGTTCCTCAACGGATGCTAATTATTCTCCAAAATTATTTCTGCTGCTACAGTCTGACTAATTTTCCCAGATCCGACCACTGCCTTTTGCTCATCACGATCGCTTATTGTTATTCCTGTTCTTACTGGCTTACATTTCTGTGCATCAATCAGACTTGTGCCAAGTAAAATTTCCTCGTATGCATAACACAATCCGTGACGCTAGATACGAGGTAATAAAAATATGTTTTGAAAAAAAAGAATTTATGAAGATTAACATTCCACTCCAACAAGTTACTGGCTGATAAGCACACCCTTCTGCGCAGGCTGTCATGGCAAATGCTCATATTAACATGTACATACATGCACATGACTTCCCTTCACTTACGTTGGACTACTAACAACTCCCCGAAAAGAAATTTGCAAAAAGTCCAATTCCATTATTTTAAAATAGTAAAAAAAAAAATGCATTTCCAGCTAAAACCAAAACCACCATTTCTCCACCCCCCAAATTAAGATTGGAAAGGATTTTCTCTTCATCATCTTTTGCCTTTGATTGAGTTTCACCATTATTACCATGAAGTGCTGAATGCCAGTAGGTAACAGCGGATTTATTATTTTTTTAGTTGAAAGTAAGAAGCCTGAAAGAAACAACTGTCTACTACAGGAGTAGGCAGCCCTGATCCTGGAGTGTCAGTGTCACAACGGTCTACTACAGGAGTAGGCAGCCCTGATCCTGGAGTGTCAATGTCACAACTGTCTACTACAGGAGTAGGCAGCCCTGATCCTGGAGTGTCAGTGTCACAACTGTCTACTACA